GCCCAAAAGGTCCCATGTCCGCGGAGGCTCGGCCGTGAGAGGCCGTAGGGTTGCCCCTTCGTTCGTGTTCTGTGTCCGCAGGAGTGCAGCTGTCAGTGGCCAGAGGGTCCCGTCTAAAGGGTCTTCTGTGCGCTGGTATCTGGGCGTGGGTGGTCAGATGGTCTTGGATACAGGATCCTTCCATGTTGTCTGGCACTGGAGAAGCTTCCGCTGATTAGGCTTGAAGGCTGTCGAGCGGTGGTCTCATCCAGGTCTTCCTGATCAACTCGGTAAGCCCAGCTTCCTGACGGGCGGAATGCCTGCGTGAGCGTTGCAGAGCGCGGACAGCAGGCGTCGGGTGAAAAGGTTTCTTATCCTCTTCCTCGCCTCCTCTTTCGCCTCCTCCTCCTCCTCCTCCTCCTCCTCTTGCTCCTCCTCCTTTCCCGATGAGGTAGAAGTTCCGGCGGAGCTGGTGCAGCTTCTGATCGGGCCTGGCGGCGCCAACCTCAAGGAGCTCCGAGGGGGGCGCTGATGTCCTCCTCACTGCGGCCCAGGACGGTTCCGCAGACGCCTTCTAGATACTGGGTAGGATCCGGCTGGGGGCTGAGGTGGCCCAGCACCTGTTTCGGCCAGCAGAACGAGGGGAGAATGGAACCGCTTGTCGCCACGGCTGGACGCGGCTCAACAAATTTGTCCGTTTCGACCCCAGAAGGGGTCTTGGGACCGATTTTGAGAGGATTTGCCGTCGTCCCCCGCTCTTCAAATCTTCCTCGTGGCCTATCCAGCGCAGACCCCCCTGCCGCTTCAACCTGGGGGCAGCATCCTTAGCGTTCTCTTCTTGGCCCAGTCAGTTCCTTTGTCGAGGCCCGCCTTCGGTTCCGCAAGCGCTCTGGAGCAGTCAGCCGCAGGAGTTATCGCACCACCGCGCTGGGGCGGGCCTGCGGTCAGTTGGACTCGTGTCACGTGGACTCCTGGTCAATGTGGGGTGTCGAGTCGCGCTCCTCGGGCCAGTTGTAACTCCGCCCTGTTTTTTGCAGCTTGGACTAGTTTTTATGTTTTCCATGTGCCAGCTCACCACAGCCAACGTCGTATTCATCTTCATCACAATCACCACTGCGATCACGATCGTGATCTTATCGCCTTGGCGATTACTGCACGACTATTTTCGTGCCGAAAGCAAGGCACATCACATCGTAGGCGCCACTTTCTCTCCTATCTGTAGGGGCCAGGTGGCCCTTGACGTATTACAATTTCTCGAGGCAAGCCATACTCAAACTCATGAGTATCATCAGCGACTACTTTATGTTGTATTGCCTAGGAGGTCTTTTTAGCGGTCCCTGCTTCACTTGGCCCCTGGCCCTCGGCTGAATATTTGGTAATGGCGTACACTTTCCGATTTGGTCGAAGGGTTATTGCAAAGGCCTTGCGACCAGTTCAGCCGACCTTGAGAAGTGATCAACTTGGGTGCAAGAGGCGCCAGAGACGAAAGGATGACGGAGGCAAGGGGCAGTGCCGGCTTTAATGCTAAGCCGAAAATCAAACGATCCTCGGCCCATCCCGCCACTGCGCCTGGGTCGCGTCCCAAAGGCCTTGGGAAGATTGCGAAGGCCCCACGGCTGGTGCCGCCGATCCTGAAGGCGGGACCTCCCCCAGGACCCCCGCTCCCTCCCCACCACAGGCGGGACCTCCCTTGGGACCGTGGGACCCACATCCCGCTGGCGATGCCCCCCGTGGCGGATCCCGCTGGCGACCCCCAACGGGACCCGCTCCCCCCCCCAACCACAGGCAGGACCTCCCACGGGACCCCCGCTGGCGACCCCCCTCGTGGGAGGGACCCCGGGGGGAGGGTTGTGTCCTGACCCAGGACCAGCAGCCGGGACCTCACCCCGGACCCCAGCTGGCGACCCCCCTCAGGACCCGACAGGACCCCGGTGGGACGGTAACCTGATCCGGGACGCCCCCCTTCCCTCCCCTACCCCCCGCCGTACCCCCCCTGTCAGAGAGGGCTTTTTTGTTCGTTCCTCAAGTTCTTTGGGACTGGCGACGACGACGACGACGACGCCGCTCGAGTGCGTCCTGGGGACCTCTGTGGGTTATGGGCTCCTTGGTCTCTTCTCTTGGTGGGCGTCTTGGGCCATCTGGCGCTGGTGTTGGGGAGTTCTTTTGCCGTCTTGGACGCTCTTGCGACCGATGCGGCCAGAATGTTCAGCTCACATAAGAACGCGAGAGGTTCTGCCGACTTTGGCCTCCTGGGCCAGCCCCCTGGACGTCCGCAAGTGCCGTGGTTGGCCCCGGGGGGCTCGGGCGTCCCAGCGGGCAGGTGGCCCAGTGGCCGCCAAATTAGCTGAGGGAGTGGGGGTGGGAGCGGGGAGGTGCACCCTTCCTCAGGCCTCTCCCCTGCCCTGCACCCCTCTTCCCCAACCGCCCCCTCGGGACCCCCCATCCCCCTCCGGGCGTGGAGGAGATCGAAGGGAAGGGGCTTCTTCGATTTGATCAAGGCTTGGGTCGATCCACCTCTGGCAGGTGAGCTTGGATAGCCCCAGGTGGCCGCAGGGAGCGGGGAGGGAGAACTTTGAATGGAATAGCGTCTCCCAGGGCCACCCCTGGACGAACACCCCAGGACTCCCCTTCACGCACGCCAGCGGGGTCGGCGGACTTTGCGGGCTGAAGCTCCCGCCGAGCTCCAGCTGCCGCCTGGGGCTTCGACCCTTCCCAGGGCTTACGAGAGGAGCAGACGACAATCGAGGGCTTCTGCTCATGGAGGGGGGCGGGCCAAGAGGGTTTCCTTGCCTGCCTGCGCGCGCGAGAGCCAGCAGGACATCCGCGCCAGGACGGGTGACAGGGTCTACATCTCCGTGATGCCTGCCTCCATGCCAGGCGGGAGCACGCGCCCGTCCTTGCCAGAGGAGAGGGATGAGGGAGGAAGGACAAGGCTAAGTGTGCTCGCGCCAAACCTGACATCCCATCCCTTGCCTTTGCTTTCTCTATTCGCCGATCCTCTAAGAGGATGCCATCGGGTTGTGAGCAATCAGAAGGGGGGAGCTGTGTACGTTGGAAGAGGAGGAGGAGGTGGAGGAGGAAAGCGGCAGCGTCTGAAGATACCAATGTCGTCAGGAACCATCTGGAGGAGGAGGAGGAGGAGGAGGAGGAGGAGGAGGAGGAGGAGGACGAGGACGAGGAGGAGGAGGAGGAGGAGGAGGAGGAGGATGAGCAGGATGAGGAATGAGGAGGACGATGAGGAACAGCAGCAGGAGCAGGAGCAGGACCAGGAGACCAGGAGTGGGAGGAGCCGGAGGAGCATGAGGACAAGAGGAAGGGGGGAAGGTGGAAAGGAGCGGGGAGACGACGATGAGAAAGGGCGGGGACCCAGAAATGTGCCCGCCCTGGGGCCAGACCGCCACTCGCCGATTTCACAATGAGGCGAACGCTGCACCGGGAAGACCGTTCTGACACACCGAAAACGCTCCGATTGAAGCAGGCCATCTGAGATACAAACTTTCTAAACCGCGCGCGCGCCCGCGCGCGCGTGTGTGTGTGTGTGTGTGTGTGTGTGTGTGTGTGTGCTTGGCATCGCTTGGACTTAGGCATTTTTTCGCGGTGGGGAGAGTGAACGTGCGAGCGATGGCGAGGTGTGTGTCTGTGTGAGAGAGAGAGAGAGAGAGAGAGAGAGAGAGAAACAAAAAGGCACGGAGAGGACGGGACACTTTCAGCACTTCGGCTCGAGTCCTGTCATATACCTAAGCATTTACCTTTACGTAAAGGGAATAAGAAGCACCCAGACCCCGACACATTGCTTTTACTAACGGCCCTGAGCGTTTACTAACAGCCCTGCCCTGTTCGATTCCGTCCTTGGGTGCGTTTTCCGCACGGCTTCGCTTGTCGGGGTGCTTCTTATGGGGGTGGATTTTCTGTCCTGCATAGTGTATCCTCTCACCTTTCTGTCTCTCTGATTGTACCTAGTGTTGACGCCAGATACTTGTTGGCAGATGCCGGAAAAACGCGACATATTGTCGCCTGAGCCGAGACGTTCCGTACTCAAAGGCGGAAATGACCAGACGCAACCACGACTTCACAGTCCCCAGCATCAGATGGACTTTACAATCCCTCCCAGATCGACAGTAGCTGGCGGTGACGTCTGCAGTGAAGACGGTGGCACCTAACAGCAACAATATTACTCCAACGGCGTCTGGAACTTGCTGCGACAGACACTACACCCTCAACGGCGGGATTGCTGTCATTCATGCTGAATGAGGAACAAGAACCGATCAATACCGACATCGCAGCGGTACAACAACACGGGGTTTCGCGCGAATACTTGGAATCTAATATATCACCACAGCAAGCGGCTCATTACTTTGCGAGTGGTGGCAACGGAGACTAAGGATGCAGTTTCGACGCCTTTGTCGGCAGCTTCTGGGGCAGCCCGCAGCGTGACTTCCACGATTGGAGACAAGCTGCACGAGGTGGAACGTGAGGTGGCCATCTTACAGGGGAACAAAGTTCCAATATCGTTTTGCGACAGCACGACGCCAGCGACCGCCTACCACGTCCATGGCAAACGCGAGGTTATTGCGGTAATCGGCAATTCGGTGGGCTTGATCTGAACAAGACAGCCGCAAAATGGACACTGGGAAAGCTTCCCACGCACGACGGTCCCATTCCACGGTCCAATTCCACGAACGTCGGTGATACGGATCATATTTTTCCGTCGGAATCGATTCAATGTTCGACCGTGACACTGTTGTATCACTAACCAAGGGCTTCAATCTGACATGCGACGGCAAACATGTGTGATAGACGCCGGGCCGTACACTTAAAGATCGGGCCGCCCAGGAATTTTGTTTCGGATTGACGTGCATATGAAAAGGGGGCGATGCTGTTTCCGTCCATGATCAAAGTTGTGGACGAACATCCTTATCGAGTACATGTGGGACGGGAGCTCGCCATCACAATTACTACTGAGGGGAATAGCTTGAAACGAGATTGGTCGGAACTTCGGGGAGCATGGGCTGATTTGCACAGCCATCCTCAGCTTCAGGAACTCACGGAAAACATGCGGCTCGTTATTGGCGCGGGATGCCAATGCCATGAAGGGCATCTCGAATAGCATATCTAAGGAAGCGGCTGTAAGTAGGATGTCCAGCGGGTGCTGGTAGACACAGGTCAGCACTAGAGCCGACAACATCGACGAGGGCAAGCATTGTAGCACCCACGACAACCGCTACGACTTCACATGGAATCGGGGCAGAGTGGCTCGTCTCCCCACAATGCGTCGTCCTTCTGACTCCAACCTCCCGCCTCCAGCCTCCGACTCCGGCTATTGCCATCGCGACTCCCAGTTTATTCCGTCGTTTCCATCTACGTCATCGTTGAGCATCATCGAATCCAGCGTCAAGGCTACCACAGCGATCCGGACAACATTCCGACTCCCCTTGCGCCTACAGAAGATGTGATCTACGACAAGCTGTTGAACTCCGACCCCGGGGTTCCGATTCAACCACTCCGACTTCGACCGCGGCGGCACCGCCGCCGAATGCGCGATTCGATTAAGGACACCATGTGCCCCATAACGGACGCCCGATCTCCCCCCCCCCCCCCCCCTCCCGCCGTCTCAACCGACCGGTGGGCCCCCGGCGGGGCATGCCTCGACTGCCGGAGGGTGTCTCTCCCAATCGAGCGTGCCAGTTGGCGCGGCTCAGGGCAGTTCCCCACCTCAGGTGCCACCCGCCCCCTTCTCGCGTTTCACCGCTGGGGGGCGCGGGCGACGTCGGCTTCGAAAAAGGCTACTGCGTCTCTGACCCTTGCTCCTGAAGTGATTTTCAACCCCGGTCCTCTGCCGTGCACCCTGGATCAGCAGATCGCTCGTGCGCGGCGCTTCCAGCGGGGGGGGGTTGCGGCAAGCGTCTGAATGTTGCTGGAGATGCCCTGCATCCTCGCGACGCGTCCTACTTCGTCCCCAGGAGATCCGTCGCCCGAGGACTCCACCCGACGTTTGCGGCGAGGAGAGGACCTACATGCCGAATCTTGCTCGCAACCTCGCCTCTGGCCCCGGCCCCGCGCTCGCCCGCCGCCAGTTTCGCCCCTGCAGTCTCGCCCGAGCCAACTTTGCTCGCGCCAGATGCAGCTGGGGGCTTATGGGCGAACGTTTGCGTCTGGAAATGTTTACCGATAGGTGCCGCGCCAGCCGCTGCTGCACCTCCTTCGACTCTAGCTTCCCCTGGCGTGGATGCGGGCGCAAGGATGGGCCGTGCAGGTTTTGGGTCGAATGCGAAGCCGACTACAACGACGCCGCTGTGCAGCCGGCATCTCGCACGGAGTGCTGATGGCGCTCAAACCGACTTCGGGGGCCAACGTGCAACCGATCTGTTTGATTATCGCATGAACGTACGGGGATTGGCGCCCGCTGAGCGATTGGATGAATTATTGGCAGGATTGGACAAATTACAATGGGATGCGGTGCTGAACTTCTGAACGATGGGTTTCAGTTGGCGGTCGCTTGCGTTGCGGCTCTCCGGTCGCGGGCGGAGCGCGCGTGGAGTCGGCGTTATTTGCCGGCAGTTCTTATTCGCATATCCAGGCCGCACTGGCTTTTTTGGGGAAGGGTTGCCGCGGGGCCGAGGCGCTCTGGATCGGGGTGGAAGTCGAGCCTTCTAGGGCCAGATTTTGACCCGTATCCAGTGCGCCTCCGGTTTCTGGGGAGGGGGCCCCGCAGTGCCAGGGCGCGCTGGATGTGGATATTCCAGTTGCCCGCGTTCTTCTGCTCTAGAGGTGGATGGGGGCACTTCGTAGCTTTCTTTCCCGTCGGCCGACGGGTTTCTTGCGCGGGGCCATGCATGACTGCGACTGGTGACGGCGCGCTTCCCATCGCGTCGGCTTGGCGGGCCATCGCGCGCAGAGGTGTTGCGCGATCTTCAGCATAATCGCGCGCGAGGCCAGACGGGAGGGGGCGCGCCATTTTCGGGGCCGATTGCGACGCGGGGGCTCGATCACGGCAGGGGGGTGATAATTGTGACGGTGTGAGGCCCTGCGCTGCTGGAGTCTGCAGTGTGAGGGGCCAGTGGCTGAAGGATTGGGCGTCTATGCAGTCGCTGGTTATCGCGAGCACGATCTTCAAAGACAACAGTTCGTGGCGCGCCGCAGTCCAGATCGGCGTCCCAATCGAATCGATTACATCGTGGTGGGTGGTCGCTGTGGGAGGCCCCGCGTGACTCTGCCGACGCGGAGTGCGCGGGCCCCAGCTCTGGCCGCAAATGCTTGCGACTGCGCGGCGTCGTCGCGAGCCCGGCCGACGTCGAGGAGTCTGCCTCTGAACTTCAGAGAGTAGCGGCCCAAGCGACCGAAGCAGCGCTTGCCGCCGAATCATATTTCAGGGTGTGCTGATAGCCTGTGGGGCGTCATAGACCGCGCGGACGTTGTGGGGGGCCCAGCGAGCGCGGCGCCTGCATTGCGCATCTGCTCGTGGAGGCGTTCGTCAACGCTTTTCCTCTCGACTGCGGGGGTCGCCGCGACGGCGGGCGCGGCTATTTCGAGGAACTGATCGCTCTTGGGCGGCTGTCCCCGCGCGAAGGTCCAGGCAGACAAGTTTCGCGCCCGCGGATCTTCCGGGGGGCAAGAGCAATGCGACGCGCAGAAAGACATGCCGACACCGAGTCCGTCATCACTAGCTACCGTGGTCTCGGGAAGATTGGGCACCAAGAGCGGGCGGCAGTCAGACTCGATGCCGCGTGGTCGAACGTGATGGGTCGCAAGAGTGCGGTCGACATGTGGTGGCTGATCTTTCCGCGCATGTTGACGGGGCGCCGTGCGCGTCGCCGGCTGACGGCGCAGCGGCCCGGCGAGGCGACTCGGCAGGCGGCGGCGCGACGCCCATTTCTCTGCCTGCCCATCTTGAGCGCCAGGGGGCAGTCGAAGAAATCATTGTGGATATACGTCGGACATCATTGTGGACATGGTCAAGGTGGCGAAATATACGTCGGACATCATTGTGGATATGGTCAAGGTGGCCGTGCTCTCGATGGCCATCTTCTGCCCCTGTACTACGACTTCGTGCAACTTGGGGGGCCCGCGCCAGATCAGTTGTTGAAGGCGCGCGTCGCCGTCGTCTTCAAATCTGGAGACCGTGCTCTACCGCGTAACTGCAGGCGGATTGCTGCCGTTCCCGCTTTGCGCCGTGCATATTATTCGCGCGGTTATTGTGTATCCGCCCGGGGCCGGCGCTGGGCCGACGCCGACCGCTGGGCCAAGCTGGTTTCCGCGAGCAGTGTTCAGTGGGCGACCGCTTGTTCTCGCGTGCCATGATGCAGAACAAACGCACGAATGGCGCGTGGGCGCCTCAAGTGGATTTGAAGACGGCTTTCGACGCTGTGTCCCACGAGTCGACGTGGAAAGCATTGCGCCGGCAAGGCGTCGCAGTGGTATATTTCGAACTCCCGAGCTGTCTGTGCGCAACTCAGACAGGCACCGTCGCGAGATGACAAGCAATACGTTCAAGATTTTACGCGGGACCGAACGAGGCGGCCAATTTAATTCATTGATTTTCCATCCGCTGTCCGAGGACATTTCCCGAGCTATCCTGCCCGGGTGACGGCGACGTGGGCGCGGCCTGTAGGTGGTTTGCTCTGGCGACAGGGTCGCGATTGTACGATTTCCTGACGATGTTTTGTCGGTCGCTACATCTCCTGGGCAAGTGGCGTGGATGTCGCTGGACATCCGGAATGAAGCTGCGCAGGTTGGTTTGACATGCCACCCAGACAAGGCGAAATTCAGGTGGAATCGTTGCCATCGAGGGCAAAGGGTAGGTCCAGAGTGCATCTCAGGGCCCTCACTACCATCGGCAGTGTCGACCCACGCTGCGTTGCATACATCTTCGGGCGGAGAAGTTGCATTCCAAGACCCGCGCAGAGTCGAGGTCGATAATCGCATTGCCGTTGGTTGAAAAGTTCCACATGCTCAAAGATGAGCTTATTTGGTGGAGTCATTCTTGTCGTGACCGTATCAGGTTGTTTCATTGTGCCTTCGCCCCATCGGTCCTATATGGGTATGCTTCGCGGACCGCCTTGCGAGCTCGAGAACATGTTCAAGCGGACGCAGAAACAAGTTCTTGCTGTATGTTCCATGGTTCGCCACGCCGCTGGATTGCTGCGTCTGTGTGCGAGCCTTGGGAAATATGGATTGAATGAACCACTCGAGAAGCTGAGCGTCTTCTCAAGCAAATGTGTATACAGGACTGGGTGGCAATACAACGATTAATGAAATCGAAGTGGGCCGCCACGCCTCCTTGGGAAACGTGGGCATGGAGCTACACGGCGCTGGTTTGGGAACCTTCGATGTGCTTCGACCATTTTGCACACCGACAGTCGCGGCCAAAGACCCAGTGGACAAAAGAACCAGTGAAGTACACGGACATCTTAGACTGAATTCACATTTCTGTAATATTTGCGTGGCAGACCCGTGAGGCCGTTTTTTTCTTCCCCTTGACAAGGTGCGACGATGTAGCCGCCCTAGTTTCTTCGCTTGCGTTTCCTTGGTCGCCTCCCCTGTCGTTCCGTTCTCCCCTTTGCTCCATCCGCCTCGCCTCGCGCTCTCGCCCGTCGCGCTTCCCTCCTCCCACCCGCGCGTCCTCTCCCCCCCAAGAAATTGGATGTTACAAATCTTGTTGGTTTTGTAGCCCGATTTTGCTGGCCACTTGCTGTCATTCCAACAAGGCGCGGGTCGTATGTGATTCGTGGCGCTCCGGCCCCAATGTCCCCTCGTGTGGACTCTTGCGCGCGGACTCTGTCATTCGGTGGAGAGTGGAAGGTAGTGTTGCGAATATCTTGCGGCTGGTGCTGCCTGCCCTGAAAGGGTTCGACGACGCCGACGATTTGGCTTTTTGGGGCCATGGGTTTATATTGAGTAACTGTGGAGGGAGTCGGGTGAGAAGTGGGAGAGTGCGGGAGCCGCCCCAGGTGGCCCGCAGTATGTCCGCTGCGTCGGCGAGGCCAGCGAGATGGCCAAGGGGCTCGTGCGAGCGAAGCTGGAGGACGCCCCGGAGCTGCTCCTCTTCGCCTGCTTCCCTTGTCCCTCCTGTCCTCCTTCTCTCCCGTCAGCCTCTCTCTTCTCCTGCCCTCGCCCTCCCCTCCTGCTTCCCCAATCTTGATGTCCAGCCTTCTCTCTCTCTCTGTCATGTTTTTCTTTGTTTTACTTGATTTATGTCCTTTCGTGTATGCATGTAGGTACATGTGTAATGTGCTGTAGTACTATGTAATATACTGTACTGTAAGGTAATGTAACGTACTGTAATGTAGTATAGTATAGTGTAGTGTAGTGTAGTGTAGTGTAGTGTAATGTGGTGTGGTGTGGTGTGATGTGATGTGATGTATGTATGTATGTATGCCTGTCTGTGAATGTGTATGCGTATGTGCAAACGATTGTGTAGACGTGTATATATATACATGTCTATGAACATGTAATTGTATGTGTATTATTGCATACATGTACAGGTACACGTACATGTATTTGTGTACGTATATGTAGAGGTATATGTATACATATTTGCATATGCATATCGATATGTATATGCGTGTGTATATGTATGTGTATGTGTATGCATGCATGTATATCTATATATACAAGTGGCACGTGTGTGTGTGTGTGTGCCCAGGCTCATACAAAAAACTGAAAGGGTGTTTGAAGCAGGAAGACACCATGACTGCAGGATCGGAGATGGAGAAGGGGAAGCTGAGGCGGCGCCGCCAGGGCGTGCCTAAGAGAAGGGGAAGAGGCAGGAGGTGAACGCAGAATAATCTAAGATCGAGGTCGCACTCGAACGCAAGTGGGGTTGCCACACCTTGCGATGTGTGTACCAGGGCCCCCCAGGAAACCTCAGGAGGTTCGACTTGGATACCGGAAGAGGCTCCAGGAGGCCCCGGGATTGTGAGCGTTGTGTGTGTGTGTGTGTGTGTGTGTAATGTGTGCTCTGTGTTGTGCGTGTTTTCTGTGCGTTGTTGGTGTTGTGTGTTACGTTTGTCTAGCGTGTGATGTGTTGGGTGTGATTTGTGTTTCTGTGTGTGCATGTAGTTCTGAGGCCCCAGGAGGCCCCAGGAGGCCCCAGGCGGCCTCAGGAGGCCCCAGAAGACCGCAGGAGGCTCCAGGAGGCCCCAAGAGGCTCCAGGAGGCCGCAGGAGGCCCCAGGAGGTTCCAGGATACCCCCAGGAGGCTCCGAGGCGGGGTCTGGGGTACCAGAGGGTACAGAAAGCCCCAGGAGGCCCCAGGAGGTTCCATGAGGCTCCCAAGAGGCTCCGAGGCGCGGTCTGGGGTACCAGAAGGTACATCGGGGCTCGATGTTGGGAGGATGTCTCAGGCGAAATCGCCATTCTCTGAGAATCGGGGTCAAAATCATTGAATTTACAATATGTTTTGAAGGTTTTATGTTAGAATGCTGATTCCCATGTGTTTTTGGACCCTGACGTCACCATCTGAGTGAGGGGTGCCATCGATTCTCACAAATTCGAGGATGTCCCTCGCGAAACGGCCAGAAGAATCGCGAACACCGCCTTCAATTAATCGGCTCTGAGCTCTACTCCCTCGGAGAGGTGTGTATGATTATATATATATATATATGTATATATACATATATATGTACGTTTGTGTATATGTATATGTATACTCATATGTATATGTATACGTGAATGCATACATACATGTACATTTTATGTATAATCATATGTTGATATCTGTGTTAATATGTGCATGTATTCGTACATTAAACGTATGCGTATATGTGCACGTCTCTCTCTCTCTCTCTTTCTCTCTCTCCCTCTCTCTCTCTCTCTCTATATATATATATATATATATATATATATATATCGGAGTAGGCGGGGGGGGGGGCTCGGGCCGGTGCCGTCATCCCCCATGGGCGCCCCCAGAACCTTTGGGGGATCACAGGCCCCCCGGGACTGCCCTGGGCCGCTTCCAAATTGCCCACGACAGGCCACGCGGGCCGTACAGATGGTCAAGAAAGCCTCAAGAGGCCCCGAAGACGCCCAGGAGCGCCCCAAGAGGGCCCGAGATGGCTTGAAGATGGCCGACGAGGGCCCCATGAGGGCCTTCAAGAGGCAAACATCGGCCCATTCCTTTCGTAAAACGTACATTTTCAGCACACTCGCTGGCTTCGTCTTCAGAGTGCCCCAGACGCCCCGAGGAGCCCCAAGACAGCCCAAGAGAGACCCAAGAGGGCCCCAGACGGCCCGAAAGGGTCGGCCTGCGGGGCTCGCGGAACCCCCCGAGACGGCCCAAGAAACCCCAAAACCAGTCCAGGAGGCCCCCAAGACGGCCTCAGGGAGGCCCAAGAGGGCCTCGTTCGAAATTATGTTCCCGGAAGCCTCTCCGGGAACATGATTTCCGGGTTCCCATGACGCCCGAGGGGCCCACAAGACAGCCTCAGCGAGGCCCAAGAGGGCCCGAGATGTCTTGAAGTTGGTCGAAGAGGGCCCCAAGATAGCCTTCAAGAGGCAAACATCGGCCCATTCCCTTCGTAAAAAGTACATTTGCAGCATGCTCGCTTGCTTCGTCTTCAGAGTGCCCCAGACGCCCCCGAGGAGCCCCAAGACGGCCCAAGAGAGACCCAAGAGGGCCCAAGACGGCCCGAAAGGGTCGTCCTCACGGAACCTCCCAAGACGGCCCAAGAGGCCCCGAAACTGGCCCAGGAGGCCCCCAAGACGGCTTCAGGGAGGCCCAGGAGGGCCTCGTTCGAAATCATGTTCCCGGAAGCCTCTCCGGGAACATGATTTCCGGGTTCCCATGACGCCCGAGAGGCCCACAAGACAGCCTCAGCGAGGTCCCAGAGGGTCCGAGATGGCTTGCAGATGGCCGAAGAGGGCCCCAAGAGGGCCTTCAAGAGGCAAACATCGGCCCATTCCCTTCGTAAAACGTGCGTTTTCAAGATACTCCCTTGCTTCGTCTTCACAGTGCCCCAGACGCCCCGAGGAGCCCCAAGACAGCCCAAGAGAGACCCAAGAGGGCCCAAGACGGCCCGAAAGGGTCGTCCCGGTGGGGCTCACGGAACCCCCCCAAGACGGCCCAAGAGGCCCCGAAGTTGGCCCAGGAGGCCCCCAAGGCGGTCTCAGGGAGGCCCAAGAGGGCCTCGTTCGAAATCATGTTCCCCGAAGCCTCTCCGGGAACATGATTTCCGGGTTCCCAGGACGCCCAAGAGGCCCACAAGACAGCCTCAGCGAGGCCCAAGAGGGTCCGAGATGGCTTGCAGATGGCCGAAGAGGTTCCCAAGAGGACCTTCAAGAGGCACAAACAAGCCCGTTCCCTTAGTAAAACGTGCATTTACAGCATACTCCCTTGCTTTGTCTTCAGAGTGCCCCAGACGCCCCCGAGGAGCCCCAAGACAGCCCAAGAGAGACCCAAGAGGGCCCAAGACGGCCCCAAAGGGTCGGCCTGTGGGGCTGACGGAACCTCCCAAGACAGCCAAAGAGGCGCCAAAGCCGGCCCAGGAGGCCCCAAAACGGCCTCCAGGAGGCCCAGGGTTCGAGATCATGTTCAAGGAAGTCTCTCCAGGAACATGGTTTCCGTGTCCCCAGGACGCACAAAGACAGCCCCCAGAGGCCCCGGACACGCCGGAGATGGCCCCAGGACGGCCGACGACGCCGCCAAAACGCCCCAAGAGCGCCTCCAGAGGCGCCTCCAAAGGGCCCCAGAAGCCGAAAATCATGCATTTTCCAATGGTTTTTGAAGCATTCTTGCGCTCTCCCATGTTCCGCCTCCCCACGGTCCCGGACCGCATCAGAGGCCCTTCAGATCGCTCCAAGACGGCCGAAGAGGCCCCCAAGAAAGCCCAGAGACGGCCCAGGAGGCTCCCCAGATAAGTCAAGAGGGCCTCGAGAGCGCCCCAAGAGAGCCCCAAGAGCGACCCAAGAGGGCCTGAAGAGCGCGACATTTCAAGGTCTCCGGCCTACGAGGCTCCTAGGACGCCCCCGGAGGCCATCAAGAGGTTCCCAAGAAGCCCCGTGAGGCTCCCATGAGGCCCCCCGGAAGCCCCAAGAGACCCCCATGGGGCCCCCAGGGAAGCCCCCTGCAGGCCCCCAATACACTTCGGTAAAGCGTATTTCGCAGATATCTCAAGGCATATCTCAAGGCATATCTCAAGGCATATCTCAATACTCAACTTCTCTCATCACCTTTTCCCTATCCCTTTTCCTTACGAGTCGACATACGCTTGGAGCGCCCTTCTGGGCAGGCATGCCGGAATCCAAACCAAAGCGACAGGGTGGGCAGACCGGGTCCTCTCCTGAAAAGCAGAAGCCGAAGACCGCGGACGACGCGTCCATGAATGACCAGGACAAGATGCCAGAGGACCTCGTGATCCCCAATGAGCCTCCTCAGTGGTTCAGGGAGTTCGAAACTCGTCTCAGCGCGCAGCTCGCCACGCTCACGATGGACATGGCGCACGTCAAAAAGAACATCAGGGAGGCCAAGGATGATGCCAGTCATGCCTTACGAGTTGCACGCGATGCACAAGACCGCGTTGAAGATGTGGAGGCTGATATCGAGAATCTACGGGCGGATGTACAGCTTGAGTACATCACGAAGGAGTCATTCGACAAGGAGGTGGGATCCCAGGTGGAGGGGCAGGTCAGGAAAGCGCTAGGCAACCAGAGCAGGGACAATTAATCACGCCCTCAACAAGGCACAGTGCAAGAGGAGGGGGAGGAGCTGGAGGAGCGTGAACTTCAGGTGATTTTCGGGGGACTTCAGAACGAATTGGATGAGCAAGCCATCGTGGGGATAATTTCGAATATCATTGAAACCATGGGGGTGTCGGGCAAGATCGTCAGGGTTCATGCCTTCGCCGGCCCGTCTAAGAAAGGAGTCGCCCAGTTCAAAACACTGGCAATGAAGACAGGGGTTCTTGAAGAGGAGTCGACAGAGCCAGCGCAAATGGAACGAGGAGGACAAGGTTTGGTGCAAGAACAACAGTTCTTTTGATCAACGGGTCGCCGAGAAAACGTTGGGGCAGATAAACAGAAGTTGATG